TGCCTGTCTCTCTGTCTCTGTCTGTCTCGCTGTCTGTCTCTGTCTGTCTGTCTGTCTGTCTGTCTCCGTGACCATACGCGTGCAAGTGTGTGCGTGTGTGCATGCATGTTTGTGTGTTGTGTGTGTTTGTGTATTTGCGTGTGTCCCTGTACGTGAAACGTCTCCCTGTTTTTTTAAAACTTTTTTTCAAGTTTTTTGGAATTTTTTCTCATATACGACCCTGCTTGTCCCTCTGTTCCCCTGCATGTCAAAGCACCCCTGGTATTTGATTTGTCAAAGGAGCCCTGATATTTGATTTGTCAAAGCGCCCCTGATATTTGATTTGTCAAAGGAGCCCTTTTTTAAGTCCTACTTCATACGAGCTTTCCGAAACTCTCATAATTGCTGACATCGTTGCTCTCTCTGAGTACCTGCATTGCAAGTCGTACATGAAGGTCTCTTTGCTGCTGCGATTTTTGGAGTTTGTCAAAGTAGTCGTGTGTTGAACCGGTTTGGAGATTGAGCTGTTGACTTACTTGCCTGCAAAGAATAATAATAGGTGTCCAGACAGTCCAGCGCCATTGGGCCAACCGACATGGCAGGATTGATCGGCCATGCAAACGAGAGACAGAACACCTCACTCTGTGCAGTCTCCTTCTTTGGTTGTGTAATTCCGGCAGAAAACGGGGAGCTTTGCGGACGATTTTGTCGATGACATCAGGGCAAGGAAGTACTTGTCTTCTTGAGCAAGAAGAAGAAGATTGGCTGTCGGTCCGGTGGAACCAAAACAACTCTGCCACGAAGATTTGCATTCGGCGTCAGAAAAAGACGCTAAACGTGTCCAACGAGTGAAACAATGTCTGCCCAGGAGCCAGAGGAGAACTTGTGTCACGTAGCGGCTTTTGTGACTCTCGGAGAAAATCTCTGTAAGAAAGAAGTTATTGAGAAAAGAGATCGGCTATGCGATGAAGCCCAAACTTCGCCCGAGGAGAGAGAGTGCGGCATTTGCGAAAACGATGGACTCCTGGCTATCCGACGAAAAGCCCAAACTTCCCCCGAGGAGAGATTGGGTTGCAGCCCTGCGGGGCATCATTTGCTGCAACAACGACGACTCCAAGAAGTTTGAAGACGACTTGCCGAGTGTTTCTTTCTGAGAGACGTTTTTTTTTTTTTTTTTTTTTAAAAGAAAGAAAAGTGATTGTATCGAGCAAGGAGGCTTGTCGGGTGCTGTTGTTTGTTTGGTGACACCTTGGGTGAAATTTAAGCGGAGGAAGGCGTGAGAGGGAACTTGCGCGTTTTTTCTTCTTCTTCTCAAAAAAGCGATGTCTCTCAGAAAAGTTATCGACTCTTCAGCTTGCCAAGAGTTGACTTTTTTTACATAAGTTTGACTAAAGAGAGTTGACTTTTGTACTAGACTTCAGTCTGACTAAAGGGACTTGCATGCGGAGCGCCACGGACAAAGATGACTATCGCTGTTATGTGAGAAGAGAAGACTGAGCTTCGATTCGAAATTCGAACTCTTGATCATTGAGTGGGATGAGTGTTGGAACCTTTTCAGAGTCAAACGATGGGTTTTCTCGGACTTGTACATTGGACGGAATTTGGACCACATACAGGGGTAGCATACAGCTTTTCCACGCGCTCAAAATGTGGCACCGGCGGCAAACAAAGCTGAAGCGTCAAAGACGAAGGGTCAGTCCTTGTACGCTACCAACAACTCTCCAGAGTTCTCTTTAGTTCTGCATGGGACGAGATGGCGGGACCACGAACGAGGACCGCGACGGGACCAAGAAACAGGACCAGACCAGGAATGTGCGTAATATATACGCGGTGGTGGGACCAAGAACGAGGACCACAACGGGAGGGAATGTGAATGGATCCCAGGGAGTCCAGAACCAGGACCAGAACCAGGACCAGAACCAGGAATGGGCGTATATATACACGGTGGGACCAAGAATGAGTACCACGATGGGACCACGATGGGACCAAGAAACAGGACCAGAACCAGGACCAGCACCAGGACCAGCACCAGGAATGGGCGTATATATACACGGTGGGACCAAGAATGAGTACCGTGATGGGACCACGATGGGACCAAGAAACAGGACCAGAACCAGGACCAGAACAAGGAATGGACGTATATATACACGATGGGACCAAGAATGAGTACCGTGATGGGACCACGATGGGACCAAGAAACAGGACCAGAACCAGGACCAGAACAAGGAATGGACGTATATATACATGTCTCTTATACACATCTAGATGTGTATAAGAGACAGGAATGAGTACCGTGATGGGACCACGATGGGACCAAGAAACAGGACCAGAACCAGGACCAGAACAAGGAATGGACGTATATATACACGATGGGACCAAGAACGAGGACCCCACGGGACCAAGGAACAGGACCAGAACCGGGAATTTACGTATTGTTGTCCTCTTCTCCCTCTCTGCCTACGGTTTACCGAGCATATATATATATATATATATATATACATAGAAATATAGATGTAGATATGTATAGGACCAGGAGGTAGATGGAGAGGCAATCTGGTTGTCAGCAGGGGCTCGACCGACCGACCTTTATGTCCGGACTCGACAAACATTGTGGAGTACAGGACTCCCTGGGATCCATTCACATTCCCTCCAGGTGATGATGGCGGCAGCAAAGAAGCAACGGCTGCAGAGAAGAGTTGGCTTTTGCACGCTTACACTATGGCACTAGGCCTTCTCGTGAGCCATGCGGCACCAGGGGCCGACCAAGGCGGCTTGCCGGTGTTGCTGTGTGAATTGTGTGAATGGAAGAATGCCTGTGTGAACACATTCGAGAGCAGGTCATGCAGAGAGTGCACCCCTACGCTCCATTATCGCTGAGAATGGAATCCATAAGTCTAGAGCTGGCGATGCTGTGCTTTACGGTATTTTGGAGAAAAATATAAATTAGATAGCGTATGAGACAGACGACCTCGAGCAATGAGGAGGAGGAGGAGGAGGAGGAGGAGGAGGAGGAGGAGCGCATAGATCACGTGGAAAGAAAGATCGAACGAGTAAAATACATTGGTTTCCCTCCTCCGTCTTTTTTTTCTGTGACCAAATGGCGGCGGCATTTGCCGGAAAGCGAGGGTAAGGATTGTTGTCTGCAGCCCTGGGTATCGTCCTGCGCGTTTACGGGATTTGCGAATTTCATGCATTTTAAGGAGGTGTTTTGTTAAAAAAAAAAAAAAAAAAAAAAAAAGTGGTTGCACATGGTGGGAAATTGCTGAGAATTTGAGCAACTTTTAAAAAAAGTTCAAAAAACCGAGAACTACTGTACATCCAGTCGCCGGCAACAAGGCATGACGAGTCTTGACGACCCTTT